TGTCTTTTTTTACTCATGACGTCATAAAGCCAATGAGCACAGAGGGCTTAATGTAGCTTAATGCAGAAGTTAACCGCTTAGATAACTCCGTGAGAAACATTTCCACACTCGTGTCCAGGTGTGTATACCAGCAGGCTGTGTCCGCCTGTGGTGAGCGGAGCTCCACTTTTACCTTCGCAGTTCCTGCCGTCATGGGCCAGCTTGAAGCCCGTCATGCAGCTGCACTGGTAGGACCCCAGAACATTGTCGCACTTGTGGGCACAGAGGCGTCCAGGGTAATGCCTGCACTCGTTGATGTCTGAGACACACAGAGAAAAATCAATGGAGAGACGGGCAAACCAGATTGCAGCGTCCTAACGCTGTGAGGCAGAGGACGGATGCGCACAGGCTGAGGTTCAGTTTGAGTAAGGCTGGTCTGGCGGGGGGAGGAACGGGAGAGGGGGCCCCCCTCGTACCTTCGCACACGCGGCTGATGCTGTTGAAGATGTACCCCGCCCGGCACTCGCAGCGGAAGGACCCCACCAGGTTGATGCAGGTGTGGCCCTCACAGGGTCCGTTAGGCGTCGCGCACTCGTTCACGTCTGGGGGGGGGGGGGGTGCGGGGGGAGACGGTCAGAGGGAGAGGAACACAGGCCTCTACACAGAGCAGCTGCTGCTCAAACCATCTGTTACATTTATATTTAGCCATTTAGCAGACACTCTTATACCCTTACTCTTATTACACTCTCACTTTTATTACGCTCTCACTCTTACAACCTTACTCTCAGACTCTTACCCTTATTACACTCTCACGCTTACACTCTTACTGTTATTACACTCTCAGTCTGACACTCTTACTATTATTACACTGTCACTCTTACACGCTTACTCTTATTACACTCCAGCATGACCTGCATGAATTTTGGCTAGACTGACTTTGATTAAGGCAGAATAGGCTGACCTGGGCTATGATGAACTGGGTTAGGGCTGACGTGGGTAGTCCTCGCACCGCTGGCCTGGGCTGGACTAACCTGAGCTATGCTTAACCAAGCTAAGCTGAACTGGGCTAGACTGGGTAAGGAGGGTACCCCCACCCAACCCCTCCTGCTTTTCTCCGTACCCACGCAGCGAGTTCCCTCCTCGTTGAGGTGGTAGCCCCGCCCGCAGTTGATGGAGTTCCTCTGGCAGGTGTAGGAGCCCACAGTGTTGAGGCAGATCTGTCCCGGCTGGCAGGGTCCTGTCTGGCTCAGACACTCGTTGATATCTGGGATGGTGAGACACAGAGGGAGCATCAGTCAGGCTGTTCCTAACCGCATCAGTCAGACTGTTCCTCACTGCATCAGTCAGACTGTTTCCCTGCCGTGATCTTACCGATGCAGCTGCCCAGGGCGTCCTGAATAAAGCCCGCCCCGCACTGAACCCGCGGCCGGCACCGGAAGGACCCCACCGTGTTCTGGCACTCGAACTCCGGGGCGCAGTTATGGGTCCCGACCTGGCACTCGTCGATATCTAGCAAATACAGGGCAAAAGTTCAGTTTATTAGTCATAATAATAGAATCTAAAATGATTTTCAAAAATCCAGAGTGTAAGGTATATGCTCTGTGCCTGTTAAAATATTTTATAAAATTTTATAAAATACTTAACTGTACAAATATCAAGAGTCTGTAACAGTTCAACAGATCCTATAAGCCATGTTTAATAATAGGGACTCTTTACATTCCCTGCATTCTGACTTACACTGATACACAGTGCTTGCAAGCACAAAAAGAAAACCAAAGAGGAATCCGCTCAGCGAGGGATTCTGAGTTCCACCACCAGGGGGCGGCACGACCCACCTTTGCAGTTGTTGCTGTCGGTGAGCTCGTACCCGGTGCCGCAGCTGACCTCGCGCTGGCAGCGGTACGACCCCTCGGTGTTGATACAGCGCTCCCCCGGCCGGCAGCGATGGGACCCCAGGACGCACTCGTTAATGTCTGAGGGGGGGGCAGAGCAGTCACTCACAGCCCCTTACACAGTGTGAGGGGTAAGGGCCCCTCAGCAATAGATCTGGTGGCGGCAGCGTAGCATAGTGGTAAGGAGCAGGGTGTGTAACTGAAAGGTTGCTGGTTCGATTCGCTGCTGTTGTACGCTTGGGCAAGGTACTTAACCCAAAATTGTCTCAGAAAATATCCAGCTGTATGAATGGGTAACATGTAAAAAAAAAAAAAACTTAGGAAAGTCACTCTGGATAAAAGTGTCTGCTCAATGACAATAATGTAATGTAATGCAATGTAATCTGACTCATGTCACATGACTACTGATACTTGAAATTACAATACCCAGACTTTACAATTACAGTACCTAGTGCTTTACAAACACATAGGTAATGGGACAGAGGAAATTAGTCAAACAGCTCACAAGACAAGGAAATTAACTACATAGGTCGTTTTGTTCAAACACCGCCCAGTCAGGATAGCATTAGCCTAGCCTGCAGAAGAAGGAGTGCAGCAAATGAGCGTGTCTTCATCTGATTGGCCGTCGTTAGCGGCTCACACTCACCCTCGCAGCTGCGGCCGTCCCTCTTCAGTCTGTACCCCGGGAAGCAGCTGCAGGTGCCGTTGCCCTGGCAACTCTGTTCACACTTCCCGGCTCCTGCCAATCACAGAGCAGGAAGACCAGACGGGTGTCAGTCAATCACACACACCGTCATCATCATCATCATCATCATCATCATCAAACAACTGGTAACTGCACCTCTCCACAACTCCCCTGCACAGGGAAATGTGAAATCTTGACCTCAATACAGAAACGTGTTATAAAATGTTACTACAACAGATATGAATAACTACGACAGGCTTAGAGACATAAACGTCAGCATGTATCTGTGCTTCTTTCTCCATAACGGTGCAGGAGTGACACCCGCGTAGCTCAGCACACCTTTGCACTGGTCAGACAGGAGAGGATCCTCCGCTTCAGTGGTCTGATTGCTGGCAGCTGTGTGAGAAACAACAGTACGCATATATTTCAATTTCACCATAGGACAGTCCTGAAAACTGTCTTAACTAACTTACCTCAAAAGGCAACTGTCTCGTCATATTACTAATCGATCGATCTAGCAGATGGCTAGTTTGGGCGACAAAGTAAGGCTCTTCCGAGAGAGCAGGCTTCAGTGACAACTACAATTCATTACCACTAGAGGGCAGTGATACAGAGCCGTTCCTACACTTGGAGCTTTAGGGTCGGAGAGGAACAGCAGGAGGCGCAATTTGTGAAACCTCTACATGCATTCATGATTCATTTATTTATCCAGTGTTTTAAGTGATGAATCGGCCCCTGACTCCCCTGAGTGGTAGCTGTGTATGTCCTGCCTGCTGCTCTGGCTGTCGGTGGGGTGTCAGCGGTTACCTGAGGAGGGCGTTTGCTCCCCCTCGGGGGTTCCATCCACGCAGCAGGCCCGGGACACCAGCCCGCACTGGTAACCGACGGAGATGCTGAGGTCACAGCCCAGACCCTGCTCCTGCGCGGCTCTACCCAGCAGGCAACAGTCACAGCACATCTGGGGGGAGGGCACGGGGGATTTCGGAGAGGGGTGGGGAGGAAATGAGGGAAGGAGGAGGGGCGTATGAGGGAGGGGAGAGGAGGACATTAGGAAGGGGAGAAGGGGACATTAGGGAGGGGAGGGGAGAGGGGGCGGTAGGGAGAGGGAAGTCAGTCATGGAGAGCATCTCTCCCATGCTGTGTCACTCATCTCCAACAGCTTTCTATGGACCACTTTCCTCACCTGAGAACTCCTGCAAAATAAGATGTGGGCAAGTGCAGTTTGGGCTCTGAGTGTGAGTGACTGTGTGTAGTGAGTGTATGTAGTGAGTGTGTACTATTTGCATCTATAATGAATATATGCTGAAAGTGTGTGTAGAGTATGTGCTGTATGCAGTGAGTATGTGACATGTATGCAGTCAGTGCATACAGCGAATGTGTGCTGTGTAGACTGAGTGTGTGTGGAGTGTGTGTGCTGTCTGCATTAAATGTGTGCTGTGTGTGTGGTGTAAACTGGGTGTGTGTGGAGTGTGTGCCGAGTCTGAGCCTAAACCAGCCCCTAATACCAGAGAGAAAACATCTGCAGGAGCGAGTCGAGCACAAACACACAGTCACACCCCTTCGTACTCTTCTGAACAGGAACGTTTCATGCAAAAGGTGTACTCTTTCTGTGAAAACACTGCCGGGGGAACAGGAGAGATCGATGAAAGACCTGTTTCACACCACAGCGCTTCCTGATCTGGGCTTTTACAGGGCTCATTTCAGGCAGCTATGAGATCACACAGCCCTGGGCGTGGGGCAGAAACAAGAGGTGGCACAGTGCTTTGGATTCTGTGATCTAGAGACTGTGATGTACTGCAGTGTGTGTCTACTTGGCTTCCCTTAATTTCTAGGCGGTCTTGTCAGGTTAGCACAGGTTAACTTGGGTAGGGCTTGAATAGTGTTACACTCACACTCACTGGTCTGGAAGTCTTGTTACAACACTGCTGCTCATTCAACTTGAATGGATACACTTCTGTTCTTTTGTGCTTAAAGTCATTCTGGATAAGAGCATCTGCTAAATGATTGTGATGTAATGTAATGTAATGATCCTGCACACACTCAGGGCACAGACCACACCCTTTGTAGGCCACCCCACTAACTATCACAGTCTGGCAGAAAGCCTACGCACCAGGTCTGAGAGAGCTTTATCTGACCACAGTGACCTCCCCTCCATTCTTTCAAGTGAAATGCTCTTTTGTGCTCTAATAAACGCAGTTTAAATGTGGCAGCATTCTGTGGAGTTGCTCTTTGCTTGAGACTGCAGGGCCAATGTGCTAACCTCTACCTGCCACTCCCCTGTGAAAAATCTTCATGACCACTTTTATTATCACATTACATTTTTGTCATTTACCAGATGCTCGCATCTGGTGACTCCCAAAGATTAAAATTTCATCTGTTTAGACAGCTGGATCTGAACTGAGGCAATTGTGGGTTACGTACCATTCCAAGGGATACAACAGTAGTGTCCCAGCAGGGAACTGAACCAGCAACCTCTTGGTTACAAGCTATGCTTCTTACCACTACACCACTGCCACCCTGCTGCCTTATTATGTGATAGACAGATAGACAGATAGATAGATAGATAGACAGACAGACAGACAGACAGACAGACAGACAGACACAGACTACCACAGAGATTGTGCTTTGACACCCAAACCCTGGGGGAAATTGTATAGATTTCATTGCACATATGGATATTACCTGCAACAATAAACTGAAATTACTGCATAAATTCATATGAAGAACTCTGTTTATCCTGGACACCCGCTCCACCACGGTGTGCTCACCTTGGCAGTCTTGGTCTCACAGGGGCTCTCGGAGAAGAGCGTCTCGCAGGCGCCCTGGTCCTTCGCCATGTTGATGCCGCTGGTGCAGGTGGTGTCCTCCAGCACCGCCACACAGCACTGCTCTTGGGCTATCCTGCCACACCAGCCAATCAGAGTGAGCCACCAAGCCTGGGACGGAACACCTCCGCACGGCAATTCACAGAGCAAACGCACGAAGACTAAAACCCAACCACTGAAAAAGCAATAGGTCTCTCCACACCTGAAAAAGCAAGTTAGGACCTGTGGGGTTTGGTGAACTGAGACAACCAGTGAGTGGGGGGTTGGGGGTGGTTATTGGGACTGTGATTTTGGGGCATTAGTGGGCACATAAACCGTTTTCCCTTGAACACACTGGTACCGCTCTCCCGGGGGCAGCTGTCCTAGGATACTCTCAGCTCTCAGTGTGTGTAACAGGGCAGACAGACCGTCAGGTAACACACACCTACAAACAATACGTGTAACAGGACCACATCCAAAGGGGAGATACAGACTGTGATGTGGAAAAGACCATCCTCCCATGACGTCAATATTAATACATGAACCAGAACCAGACATAAATATCACTGAGCATCAGCTGAGATATATCACAAGGCCTGGCTTCTCACCAGTGGGACAGTCCATATCCCTTGGGAAAAAAACACTGGTACACTCCTTAAGTGTGTATATCTTTCCCTTATTCCCTGACAGGGCTGTGAGTTACTGCCTCACTGAGCTCTGGTCAGGACCGCCAGTTCCAGGGTGTCTTACAGCAAGCTTGACTCCTTTCACCAATCAATCCGCTTATCATAAATATGATTACTAACGAGATATCTCCAAGAGACCATTCCACAACCAAACAGCCAGCACAGCCTCTTTAAGGGCACAGACTTGGCAGCATTTATTTTATTCAAAACTCTGAAATAAAGCTTCATATTTCCTGTTATTCTTCATTTCAGCCTTCTCTCCTGGAGTATGGTTTCACCTCCTTGGTATTTCCTGGTTTAAGCAATTTTACCCCCACCCCTAGAACAAGCCCCCCATTCCCAAACAAACACCCATCCCCCTCCTGACTGAATTTTAAATCTTGAATCTTGGCCATCTGCATTAATGTCGGTATATTACCATGTCAGACTGTAGACAGATTGTACCATGCAATGCTCACTCTGTTATGACTACTACAGTTATTACTGCAATTGTTATGACTGCAGTTTTCAGCTGAGGGGGATCAGCTGAAAACTGCAGTCCCCTCTGGGATCCCAACTGTATGGTACAGGTACAGCCATCCCACACTATGGTCTCCTCCACTGTAATCATACATCTTTAAATACAAGGAGAAACTGTATCAGAGTTGTGTTATGTCATTATAAAACGCTAGCATCGAGTGAGCATGTTGTCAATGCAATAATACAGCATTCTGCTTTTGCAGAAGATGGACGTCTCTGGGGAAAATAGAGATCCCTCAGAAACTCCTGACAAAAAAACTGAGACATCATTAAGAATCTGAGAAAACCCTAAGACAAACTTGGAGAGACCCCTGAGAGACCTATAAGCGTTATCCATGAGACACCACTGAGAACCCCCTCATAAAAATCCCTGAGAGTCCTATAATAGACTTTTGGGAGACCCCTTAGAGATACCACTGAGATAAACCGCTGAGAGAAATCTCTCAGAAGGTCCTTTAAGAGACCCATGAAAGACCAATCAGAGATATCCCAGGGCCACCACTGGGAAGCCCCTAAGAGAAATCCCTGAGAGAGTGCTTTCAGAGACTTTTCAGAGACCCTCAAGAGATAACCCTGAGCCACCACTGTAGGCCACCTTTAAGAGACCTACAGGAGACCCCTATGAGAATCCCCTGAGACCCATGACTCACCTGCAGGTGGTGGACTCTGAGATGAGTGGGAGGGCTGCACAGTCCTGTCTGAGCAGGCCCCGTTCCCTTCCATCCTTACAGCACTCCTCCACGGACGTGGTCTCTATCGCTGCGGGAGGAAAGCACCAGGCCCCATCAGACTCCTGAGACCCATGACTCACCCCAGTCCGAGACAAGGAGGCAGGCAGGCACCAGACATAGCACACGTGCTCCCTCACACAGACACGCTACAGGCGTCTGCAAGGAACCAAAGAGCTTTGACCCTCCTGCAAATCGACACTGAGAAACCCACTGCGGATTAGTACCCTTCCTCTACCAACACACACACGCGCACACACACGCACGCACACACACACACACACACACACACATATGCACCGAAACATATACTTCCTAGTACTTAACTTTTTTCATCATAGACTATGTCTGCACTAGTCATTTCTGGAAATATAAATGCAATTTAAACAGCTGCTGGCTGTTTGAACTAACATCACTAACACTCTGCCACCTTGGACAAAGTCAGGAGCAGTCTTAGACAGCACCTTTAGAAGTTGCCTGCTATGTGTGTGTGTGTGTGCGCGTTTGTGTGTGTGTGTGTGCGCGTTGTGTGTGTGTGTGTGTGTGTGTGTGTGTGTGTGTGTGTGTGTGTGTGTGTGTGTGTGTGTGTGTGTGTATGCATATGTGCGTGTGTGTGTGTGTGTGTGTGTGTGTGTGTATGCATGTGTGCTCTGACTTGCCTAGCCTGGAAAGCTCCAGCTATATCACTGTCGGCAATCACCAAAAGTTAAACAGCGCAGCACATCAGGGCATTGGGTACCCTGGAATGTTTTCAAACTTCAGACAACACCTTTTAAGTGTTGGGCTTCCTGCCACACAAGACTGTGCACGCCAAGGTGAATAGGCTACATCCCATATCTAGAGTTACCTGGCAACAGATCTGCCACAGGGACAATTACAAAAGAAATCACAGAAGTCAAATGAGTGCAAAGTCTGTCGAGGAAAAGATCAAGGAACCAGTGGAGTGAGTAGAGTCTTCTTGACTAAGTGAAGAGTGACTGACGAACTCTAGCAGTAGCTGTTACTCAAGACAGTGGTCTGATCAAACCACTCATCACTTTACCTGTGTCAATAAAAGCAGGACATTGGTAAGGACAGTTAGGTTCAGGTATTTTTTTAATCTGCCATCCATCTTTTCAATATAGAGCTGTTGAGGGTCCATTCACTTGCACATATAAGGGTTTATTAGCAATGAATCTGTTCAGGATTTTATTTGTTTGTAAGAAATACCTCCACTGCGTAATATGTCACTCTGTATTTCCTGAATGATAACTTGTCCTCATTTTCCACCCAGAGGAAACACAGCATGCATGACTGATTATAAACCCCTTGAAACAGCAGTAATTTTACGTCTTAATAAATACGTGGAAAGGGAGACAGATTTACTACCTTTGTGCGCTCAGGGCAATTTATCTGCGTTCTGGGACAAGCTTAATTTTTAAACTGTTCATTGTGGTGGACTGCTGGCAGTTCTGTCTCCCTGAGAATCCAAATGACATGTTTCTGAGGGTTCTCCTCTGACTCATCCTTGATGAAAGAGCAATCCCACAATTTAATTCCACTGATTTTCATTAAAGAAAAAAATCGCATTAAGTATAATTACACACCCAGATGCCAAAGCTCATTTAATTCATCACAACATGAGTAAAACAAAATTTGAAACATCAGTTTTACTTATTACTTACAAAAGATGTAGCCTACTTCTCTACAAGGAAATTCATTTTACTCATGGAAAAAAATGATGCCAAAATTAGCATATACTCAGAAGCTCTCCACCAACGACTTATAAAATTTGTGCAGCTAGTCTGTAACAGAGTTATATATCATGTGGCTGCATGCTAGAATTTTACTGTTCAGTTCAACACCAATGAAAAAAGAAAATACTTTGAGGTTCGGAATTCCTGTGCTGTCACCTGGAACATTACAAAATAAAAATGCTCTTCTGTTACATATGTAGAAGCCAATAGACATAGAAGCCAATAAAGACTTTATTAAAAAATGATCAGCCACAGAAATAAGGCTAGATCATCCATCATTTTAGTTATGTCCCACATTCTGAGCTTACATATCAAGCACTTATTTACCTCCAGGAACAGATAGGGATCCAGACTGCCAGGCTAAAATCAACTGTGCTGTTTTTTGAAAGGAAATTCAACTCATCCAATGTGTTAAAACATGCCTTCAGTAGTTTAATGGTAATAAGTTGGAATTAGTGCATATAAGAGGTTTCATCCCTTTCAAGTTTCCCAAAGGGCTTCATCATAATGAGCTGACTCACCTCAATCACACTCACCTGGCTGATGAGATGTCCAGGTTGAGAGATCAGAGGTTTGCCACTGACTATAGGAAAACCCTTACTATCTGTGATAAATGTAGTGAATTTTTATTAACCACATTTACTCAGAGCCTCAGTTTTGCATGAAAACATTTCATTTCACTACAGGGTGCTAGGGGTGTGTGGCTGTTTGGTTGCACCAAAAGTCCATTTATCAATTATTCCAAAACAGGTTCTTATACCACAGAGTCAAAAGGCCAAGGTTGGGATTTTGGATCACTGAGTCAAACACCACATGTGGATGTAGAGGCCAGGATCAAAATGATCCGTCTAAGAAAACACACTAACTAAGTGGGTGTATGAGCTGGAAAACACTGACAATCAAACGCAGCAGTTCCAATTAAGAATAGAAGTATCTCACTATACCAGCATACCTGCCTGGAGCATAAGCGCTTTCCATATAATACAATGTTAATGGACTTTTTAAGGAAGTCATGCACAAATTTGAGGGAACCAAGAGAACAA